CCTGTTTGCTCTGCAGTTTGATCCAAAAGAATGTTTAAATTTTAGAGCAGGTTTTGCCAAAACAATCATACTGTGCATATGGAATATACAGTATGTTAATGTTTTATTACATAAACAAAATAGTTTTGACATCTTTACTTAACATTGTGTGTCGTCATATTTTTTTACTGGATCCATTTTAAATCCTCTGAGTAATTTAACCAAATGAGCTTGTCTGTTTGACAGGAACTGGAAAATTTGTCTTGAAATATTGAAACTATTGAAAACAAGCCATAAAAAAATCATGATTACAACTGAGGTCATAAAATGAAAATAAGCAGACAAAACAAATACACGCACACAGCCCATACACTGGTGGGTCTGTCCTTTTAACTACAGAAGCTGATGATTATAGACTGGGTCTGTCCAAATAAAGGTGACGGCCAGATTTATTAGATGTTACAGTTTAAACTCCTCCATCCATCCATTTATCGTTGCTCTTATACACAGTTCACTGTTAGGATGCTCATATGACTTCCAATTCTACAACTGAGGCTAAACTTTGAGTTATAAGAAAAAAAACCCTCAATTTCGTTGTAGCCCAGTGTTACAATGACAATAAAGACTATTCTATTCTATATATTTCCCTGTCTCCTTTCTTGACATTTTTCCACAATATTAATTCCATCATTTAGAAGAGTCACAATAAATAAAACCAGGTGGGAAACACATCTATCTACCTGTTGATATTGGTCTTTCTGTTGACAGAAAATAAAGGTTTTGTGAACACTGATGAATCTGAACGGATCATTATTTTTTATAATTAAATGTGATTAATTGTGATTAATCCACTGTTAATCCACTGTGATTAATCAAATAAAAAAATATGTTTTGACAGCCGTGTTATGGACTACTTTTCTGGTCATCGTTTTAGTTATTAATTTCCTCCTGTGATATAAAATCATAAGGCCATTCCTCTAACCACTAGGCTGTAAACACAAAGATAATGTTACAAAGAATGCTGTTCACTGGGCTCTGAAGCAAAATGAAGTACATTAACTAGTTCATTAATTAAAAAATAAATTAATAAATCAATCAAACAATATAAAGGGAAATTTAAGCAATTCTAAATAGCATTACTCAGATCAGCCTGTATCAGTAGATTCACGTTAAGTATATATTTTTAAGAAAAATAAAAAAGGCAGTTTTTCGTTGGTTTTACAGATGTTAGCTACAGACCACTGAGAGTGGAGTCAACAGAGTTTCCCCGTGCTGACAAACGTCACAGATAAACATGTGCACCCATCTGACTCATTTACATTTCACTTCCACTGCATTTCTTTGGCAAAATCCTAATTTAAATCACTTCATTTGCACTTTGAGCGAGATAACAGAATTGATTGGCCACCACGCTTCAGGAGGTGTCTCCCTCTGTCTCCCCCTGTCTCCCCCCTCTCTCTCTCTCTCTTCCAGTCCAGCAGCCTCAGCTGTCAATACGTGATCCTCCACTCCACTGAGATGTATTTGTTAGCTGACTGTTACGTGGCGATAAAACAAAGTAAGGGCATTATGGTCCCCCAACAGTTAATTGGTATTGGGGAGAGAAATGCCGTTATAACTTCATAACTTCTTAAGTCATGCCTTGTGCACAGCCAGACGTGCAGCATTGTTAAAAATTTACATTTTAATGAAATATTTGAATAAGCACTTGAAATTCACTCTAGCAGGGCTCCCGATTCTAAAACCAACATTTCATGTTTGTGTTTTGAATGGCAGCGTCAGAGAAATTAAAATGCCAGTCATAGAGATTAGGAGGGCATCAGTGTAAAGTCACAGGCCTCCTCAATCAAGGTTCACTGCAGGTAAACACTGGCCATGACATGTCTGAATGATAGCTTTTTCCCTGCTCTCAACGGGGGAGGGGGGTATAAATGGACAAGGTATGAAGAGCTCAGCAAACGTGTAATAAAATAATGTAACATAAGGTATTTTTTTAAACATGTAAAATTGTTATTGACGTAGGAGCCAGGCGATGAATAAAAAGTCAGCTCTGTCAATAATTAAAATTAAAAATTTAAAAATGTGCTTATTGGAATGAACAAAACAATCATAATGAGATGTAAAAAAACAGGACTAATATTCAGCACCACCTAGTGTTTATCATTTGCCCAACAGTATTGTTGAAGGTAGATTATCTGCCCCCTGACACCTTCATCTATAGGAGAACAAATCTAAACATTAGTTTAGTGTCATAGTTTCATGATCACACCTAAGCGTTAACATCTTCTGTTAGGTTCCTTCATGATGCCTCGTGCTGTCTACCAATCACAGCTCAGCTTCTATTACAGTAGAAACCTGAATAGCCCATACTTGGCATGAGGAGCTGGTATCTACGCAGACCTTTTGTTATTGTGTTTATGAGCAGGTGTGTGTGCCGTTGTGTGTGTGTGTATTTGTCGGGGCGGGCAGCGAGGCGTGCCTATTGAACAGCAGGTGGTAATTGAAACGAAACAAGGGCTGATTAGGGAGCGTCTGGCAGCTCATGATCCAAACACAGTTGCAGTGGAGCCCAAACAAGAGGGCCCTGGAAATAAAGTGGTCATCATCTAATTAACAGAGCGCGTTTTAATTACCGAGTAAACCAAGCAGTGCCGTGTGTCAATTTACCTGATTTGGTAAGTGGCGGTTTACAATATTAGAAACAGACAAATAATTGGAATGTAATTACAAGCCGGTTCATTGCACAGCAACCGGCGCCTGCAGCCCATCCTAATAAACAAATTCTGATGTCAAACCATGGATAACAAATACTGCAGGACAGCTAATTGCCCTGCTGCAGAGTTGGGATGTTGCCAGCTCTTGACTGTTCGACAGAGGCTCTCGGGTGAATGGAGGAGGTGGTTCTATGTTTAATTGTAGTAAAGTGAACGGTGGCCGTGTTTGGGATTTGCAGCGAATCAGAGCAGAGTTGACTGAGTGTCAGCTCCCTGGTGTCGGTGAGACGGGACTCAAGATGAGCAGAACATCCCTCTGGGATTAAACTGCAACACCACGGGTTTTGAATGATGCCGGAGCAGATCACTGACTTAATTCTTTTCTACTTAAGTCTCATGATATCCAATTTGAAGACTTGGCAAATGTAAATAAATGTAAACCAGTGGATGAGGCTTAAACATAATCTATAAAGATTCTGCAGCTTGTGGTATTTACAGGAACTTTTCACTTCAGTCGCGCCAAACAGGAGATGTAATGTGGTAATGATCCATGTTACCATATTGTTTACGACAAAATCTAGGTATTACTAAAAGAAGACAGGCGAGGCTGGATGTACTGTACATATATATATACATATATATCAAATCAAGAATAGAGGAGAGGAGAGTGAACAGAGGAGTGCATACCGACGGACGGACCGTAAACAAAAGCCGGACACAGTGCAGGAGCACACACCACTATTGCACAAATAAAGACTGTTAAACTGTCATGTGTGTCAGTGTCTGTGTCAAACTCACCTGTTACATGGGCCAATTCCAATCACTGTTCGATCGATGAACCTCTACTTGCTTTCAACAGTTCTGTAAAAGATTCAGAATTCACAGTTATCATGAGCTAACAAATAACACTCAAAGTTAACAGAAGAAAAGCTAAAATGATTCCATTAAATTCTCACCTACATTATTAATTGAGAGAGGAGTACCCTAATTTTACCGTTGCTCTATTTTTTTTTTTGTTGGCAAATTTAAAAATATCTCAATGTCCTGGAATAAAATATATGGACACAGAGTCAGTGTTCGCAGATATTTCATCCACCGTTATGGAATATAATAACGTTGTGTGTTCACGTCTTTGAGTTTAACAGTGCAGTTAGTTCTCATCTGTGACTGACAACTCAGTGTCTGTGCTGTTGTCTAAATCCATGTTGTCTGATCTGTCATGGCAACAACAAGAGATTGGTTCTAACCCCAAGCGTCGGGTGAAATACAGGCGGCAGAGAGATTGCTTGTGATTTTATATTGTTTCCATTAAATCTTATCTTTCAAAAGCCCTAATTAATAACAGACCTGACATTTATGTCTTCTAGCCATAAGCTGGTCCCCGAACGATTTATGTCACCTAAAGCTTTTTAACAAATCAATGCAACTATTTGTAATTGCTTGTTTCACAAGATTAAAAGTGCTTAGACTTGACCTTTGCCCCTTGTTTAGTGGCCGACGTGACCTGTGTGTGTGTGCCGTAAAGAACCCGTGTCCTGGTCATCAGCATTAGCTCCCGTCTCCAAATCCATATCACTGTTATTTCTGGAATTTTAATGCCGTTGCGATTTATGGGTTATCAAACGGAACTACCTAAATTGCTGTTAGGAGAAGACAGTTAAACTGTCTCTTTTAATTACGATATAATTTAGTGCAAAAGGCTGAGACGGGAGTCCCACAGCAGGAGACGAACACAGATCTGTCTGCAACTGTGAAGTCATAAATAGTGGAAATCTGTAAGTTGGTTTCAGTTCATCCTCAGACACTATAATGCGTCAGTTTGCTTTTAACGTTCAGACATTACAGCGGTTTACGACAGGAACAGGAACTTTCAGCTTTCAGAAGCTCCAGAATGACTTAGGTACAAACATATGTGTGTATATATATATATAGAAAGAGAGAGAGAGAGAGAGAGAGAGAGAGCCCATACAATCCAAAACCTAAGCCCAAATGCACATCTTACCTTCGCACGACATGTTGTAAACAGGTACACTATCACCTCATCATGACAGGCCACGGCATGCTGGAGGAGAGAAGAAGGTATTGGATTGATATTAGTATTGGCATATACTCTGCAGTATTGGTATCTGCATCTGACATGAAAAAGTGGTATCAAGTCATCACTACAAGTTACTAAAAAACTACATATCTCACCTTATGTATTGTATTTAAAGAATTAAAGCAACACACGTGTGTGTGTGCCTGTGTGTGTATTTAAAGTACAGTTTGGTGTAAACCAATGGTACAAACAACGGTAAAGCAGTTGAGGAAATGTAAACAACCAGCATTTTCTTTATTGCATGTTTAGAATGCTCACGTCAGTCTTTGCTGCTGACTACAACAGAGGGGTCTGCGTCTCACAGACAAGGAATGATGAGGTTACAGACTGATGGAAACCATGAGCAATAATTCTTTTTATAAAAAAATGAAAAAAAAAACCAAAACAAAGTACATCTTCAAAAAAGAAAGAAAGACAGAGAAAGAAAGACAAGCTGCTGCAGGACGAGAGCGCCGTGACAGCTCTTCTTTATCAGCGGCTGCTGCTGCTTCATCCTCCCTCCACCCTCAGCATGGAAGAGAAAAAAAAAGTGAGACAATGAGACATATGACAGCAGGCTGGATGGTTGGTGATGGTGGAGACAATGAGCTCGGGTTCTGACACCACAGACGGCCACAGTGCACAAGGCCTTGTAGTCTCTACAAGAAAAATCTTCATATAAATATCTGAATGAGTGTTGAGGGACATGTATTTGATGCACACAAACTGAGATATATTTTCATTTAAAAAACCCCAAAAAAGAACAAACAGCATTTCGACGAGAAAAAAAAAGCATTTAACAATATTCTTTACATCTTGGCACTGCATATTTGTCTTTCTGCTTCCTATTCATTTAATATAAATTATCATTAGAATGATACAACCTTACATTATTACTGACTGCTTGAACCACCCTCCCCTTCCTCACATCTCTGTGACCCTGGGATTAGTCATGCACAACATCCCCGTCTAGTAGAGGAAATATACCTGTCTGCTCTGTCTTTTTTTTTCTCTCTCATTTTTTTTTTTCTCAGAGCAGTTTATCTTTAACATACAAGCCACAGACGGCAGGAGGTGGATCATCAAAAGGAAGTGTAAAAAATACGGAGGGGAAAAGAAGAAAAAAAAAATCATCTGTACAAAAATGCTTATGTCACTGATAACAGAGAAAGGTCTGTCTATATTACAGAATAAAATCCAAAACGGGGAATAAACCCGTGCCCTGCTCACCCACACGTCCTTGAGAATGAAAGGGGATTTTTTTTTTCTTTTTCTTCTTCTGGGATTCAAAATTTAAAATACATTTGCAAATCAGTTTGCCATTCCTTTACATACAGCAGTTTGTCACGTAGCTATTTCCATGGTCATATAAAAGCAGTGGTGACAAAGCAAACATCATAATACAAATGTATTTTTTTTCAAAATCTAAAAGTAACCCGCGGGGAACAACAGGGAGAAGACGGAGGGTTTGACTGGCAGGTATGTACAACCTAACATTGGAATGGCAGAAAAACTGAACAGATACGACACAGAGGTCTGGGTCACGCGGGGCTGCATGAGTGAGGATCTAGTGGTGAAGGAAACAATACATTCTTTACATGGATAAGCTCCGATTTGAAGCTACACATGCAGTGTAATCCAGTGAAATGGTTTTCAACGTCTCTTCTGGTTTAATTAAATCAGTCCCCATAGGTTTGAAATGATGTATGGGCCCTCACGTGTTTTTCTCATGCTGTTATCTTTAGTAATGTGGGGATACAGATGCTGAGAATGTTCTAATCTACCAGCGCTTTCCTTCTTCTCAGAATACCAAACAGACCAGCTCCAGGACCAGGGGGTTTGTGGGCAAGCCTGGGCCAGTTCTCACGATCTTAGCCTGACTGGAAGTGACCCATCCCACAGCTGCCGGGATGTTAAATGAATCTTCTGGAAACCACAGATCGCCCTTTTTCTTTGTACAGACCCCATTTGCCAAACGTTGGAAGACTTTTTTTCCCAATGCAACAGAATCTCCAATCAGCAGTTTGGTAATTACTAATTAGACAGCAGGGTACAGAAGAAGAAGACTGTTCATTGATAAATTGATGCTGAAATTTACTGCAAAAATGTTGGGACAAAAAACAGGTTGGGTTAAAAAAATGTCTTATATTAAACATTTCAGTTTTAAAAAGTTTGAGTCTCTGCCAGAAAAGATAAGTAAATCGACGAATTGTGCAGGAGGTGGTGGGGAGTGCAAAACAGTAACTGGGAACAAATCCAGGGAGTCAGGAGAAATATCTGAGAGTAAAGAAAAAAGATGAAAACCACTGCTGAGTCTGCTAACTCTCCAGGCCTTGAGGTGCATTAGAACCCAGCTTCTACTGTGATAGTCCTACAGGTCTGTGATACGTTTGGAGTCCAAATGTTAATCTGTTCTTGACTTTCTACAATTACAGTTACTGTAACTGAAACTTTTCCTCACAGTAGCTGACACTCAGAGGCTCCTGACAGGACAATGGCCAGCTTCACAATGCACCAGTCTTAAGTATAAAGGGTTGCCTTTGACTGGTCTGCCTGCGGTGTAGATCTGTGTTCGATCAAAAATGTTACACTGTTTGTAAAAGAGAGAAAAAAAAGAAAAAAAACATCTTGAAAATCTCCAAGGTAGTACGCTGTAATACTGGCTGTGACCAGTAGTAAACTTGTCTTTGTCCCAAGTTTTGAAATGTTTTGTAGGTAACAATTTATAAACGACTTGATGTTGAACAAACAAACGTACGTTTGAGTCTCTTCTTCTTCCCTTTAACTGAGCAGCGATACTGAAATGAATCATTTTGATAATTGTTGCACTTGTATCATCAATACCAACCTTTCTGGGAAATGGGGCTTGTAATTTATTTGCAATAAGTTTCTCAAAACAACAATAATAATAACAATAACCATAATTAAGTACCTTGTACCCAGCTTATTAGTTGACAGGAGTGTTTTTTCAATATAAAAAAACAAAAAAACAAAAAACACAATCATAAAGTCTTCCCTCGTTTCCAATAAAATCCCAAAGAAGTGGCATACAATCAATGAGGGATACAGACGCGTGAAGGAACAACAGTGGATGAAGTCATCGGACTGTTTCACATTATTCTCCTCGTCCCTTATTAACCAGGATGTTTTCCCTCATCAGCGCCATCTACAGTACGGACCCTTTATGTTCCCTTTTCCACTCACTGGCCCACAAACAACAACAATTTTCCTCATTTGGTCAAAATCACGATGGTCAGACTGGCAAATTTGGTCACTGCAAACCACAACTACAACTGTCCTGTTCCAGACTCCACTTTGGTTTAAACGACATGAAAACAATTCCCTCACTTCAGTCTGACATGGATTCACTGCTGCTGCCATTGAATGGAACACAACATTGATAATCGGTACTTTATCTTTGGTAGTAACAGCACAAGGTATTTCAACAGATGAACAACAAATAAAGCCAAAGAAATCCATAAAATAATTAGGATTAATAAATAAAAAAGGAAAAGTGGTTGATTGCAGTCTTGATGCTCATGGTTTTCTTTACATTTTATTACTTTAACAATTTGGGAATTTTTTTTTTTTTTTTGCTTTGTCTCAAAGCTTTTTATTGTGACATGAAACTTCACGTTGGGTCAGGGGGCAAACAGTGGGCCCTGAATGACGGCTGTCAGACACCGGAATGTGCGACGTGAGATTCTGACTGCAGGTTTGGGAACACTGAGGGAGAGCGTTTTCATCTGGTGTGTGTGTGCAATTATTAACAATCACTGGCATCTAAAAACCAGTGGTGTGTGGGAGACAAATAAAGCATCAGAGGGAGCGCACGTTTATCTCCCGGCTCTGAATGAAATCACGGAGTGGAAACGCAGACACAGTTTGATTAACAGTGACAGTTGTGTTCAGAAATCACAATTAGTTGGTCTAAATCATTATCTCGCCTGTGCACACCTGACATTTTCATTTGATGTAGTTAAAAAAAACCCTGCAGCTTGTAGGTGATCAGACATTGTGTTGCAGCTCAGCATGCTCATGTGGTGAGGCCTGTTTTAAAGTCTAATTTCATCAGGATAAACCATAACCTGCATGATTTCTCTGTCATTCATTCACATCTTAAATTAAGCTTCATTGATGCGTGGAGAGAGCCTTCATTATGAGTAGTGCATCGCCAGTGAACTTCATGAGAAGGAGGGGGGGAGGGTGGGCTACATGTCAGAGTGGAGTCAGGTTTTGTTTTTTTTTTTACCCATGTTGATGACTTTAGAATAAAAAAACAAGCAGTGTGTCTGACACTGTCTGTAATCAAAAGAAGCAGAAAAGGTTAAAAAAAACAAAACACAAACATTCATCATCAAGTGCTGTACACAGAGTCTCCCAGCAGTGGACACCAAGTCCTGATGTCACATCTGACTTCTATCACGGAAGAGTAGAGTTTGAGGTTAAATGTCAGGATTTTTATTTTATTTTATTCCTCACGAATTCAAATTTTTTCTAATTCTAAATTTGAAGCTTGAATCTCAGTTTTTTTATTTAAGGGCTGAACTCTGAAGCAGAAGTGAAATATTCTGACTCAAAGGTTAAAAAAAAAATAAATACAGGAATGTGCAGGAGTTTTAGGCGGTATACACAATTTCTGTAAAACCTCCATCTTTTTGCAGCTACATTTCCTCAGTATGTAAAGAAAAGTAAAGAACCAGAATAAAGAATGTTTGTTTTGGGAGAATTAACTAGTGATTGATTCAATTAAAATATGATTTTAATCTCCCTGCCTAGAAGCTGTCACAGGTCGGAGCTCCACAGTCCAGCAGCCGAGAGCACCAGTGATGGGGGCTGCAAGGCTGAGCCCTCAGTCAGCGCACACACACAAAAAAACAGCTGTGTTTGGTTTTACACTTCAATGTTACCAAACAACTGATTTTTGTTACTTACCCTTTAAAAAGGAAAGGCTGCCGTAACTTTTGCACAGTACGAATAAACCCCAGTATTCTGACTTTAAAGCTATAATTACGACCTTTCTGCTTAAAATTATGACTCAATATTTAAATAACAAATTCATCTAACTTGATTTCATCTGATAAAAAGTCACTTCAGCTTTTACTAAAATACTGTCAATAAAGTCAAAATTTTAACTCTTAAATTAATTTTAATGTCAGAACTAATTAGGTTTTTAGAGATTGTGATTAAAAATAAATCCAAAACAACCTGAGGAGAAACAGAGACTAAAGATGTTGTTGTTGTTTTTTCTCTGTGGCTCTAATCGTCCTTGGAAACAGCACTGAATGATGGAGAATTAAAAACCAACCCCAAAAACATGAAATACACCAAAATAAAACCAACGTCTCCCCCAGCAGTGACCCCAGATAGATTTAAACCAACGTCAAGTGTTGAAGGCAGTAACAACAGAGTGTAGTCCGCACACACACGCACACACACCGGGTGAAATGAAACGTCAGTCACCCCACCCCCCTCTCCTCAGTTTGTGGTTAAAAGTGTGTGTCCGAGAGAAGAAGAGAGGAAGACAGACCAAGGGCGAAAACAAAAAGCCAAAAGACAGTGGGGGTTGGGTGAGTGAGTGGGTGGGTGGAGGGGAGAGCCCACCGTTCTTGCAGTCTGTAGAATGCAGTGCATCCCAGCTTCATGGTGAAGGGCATCTCCCAGAGTCTGCCTCACAATTCTTCACCCAACTCTCCTTGTACCAAACAAGACCACATGAGTAAAAATGAGAGGTTCATCTTTTTTTTTTTTTTTAAGTTTCAGGTCAATGAAAAGTACAAAGGAATCAGAGGGGAACAGAGACCAGTGGTGGTTTTTTTCTGTGACCCCCCCCCCCTGTCTTTTTGCTATGTGGTAATGGCACTAAAAAGTGGACACTTCTGAGCTGAGGCTGCAGTTCACTGTTTGTAACCTGCTGGGGAGCTCCTTCTGTCTCCCTGAAGGTCCTCACTACCCCAGCCTCTCAGGCTGAGAGGGGAGGAAGTCCAAGATGGTGGGAGGAGGGAATCGGCAAATTTCTGGCGCCTGCCTTACAGCATGTCGTCATGGCCTTGGTCGTCATCGTAATCTCTGTGGTGATCAAAATCTGGACTGTGATTGGCTGTGGTAACGAGGGAGAGCGGCCCTTCGTGGTCGTCGGGGTCCAGTGGTTCCTCCTTCACGCTGATGTGATGCCTGTGCAAAAAGGAAAAGAGAGTTAAAAACAAATATAAATATAAAAAAAATAACACTTTTAGATTTTCTTAAGTCAAATTGAAGTTGATATTTGACAAATTAGAATACTAGAATTCTACTAGAAGATGAAGATGAATTTAGATGACACTAAATCTTAATTCTTTTTTATAATGTTTTAAAGAATAAGTTAGCGAGCTAACACAGCTTAGGATATGTCTCCGCAGAGTTTGGAACTCCTTTTAACGAACTTCCTGTCTTACTTTGGTTTTGGTCAAATTAAGGTCTTGTTTATGGACTAACATCTACCAATCTTTTGTGACTGTTTCTAGATTATTTGCTTTTTCTGGGCTCAAATTAGGTAAGTGTTTAAAGAACATAAGATCTGGTTAGATTTATTTTAGTCAACTGAAAATTATTGAAAAAAATAAAAATACTTCCCTAATGTAAAGTTTGTCCACATTTTCACCTATTTTATTCTAATTTATACAATATTTTTTGTTCTCTTTGGAAAAATACTGCAAATGTTTTTTTTTATTTATGACCTCATTACCAGAAATGCTTTGGAAAAAAAATGTTACAATTCTCATAGTAAAACCTGTAGTCTGGCTAACTTTTGAGGTTTTCGGAGAATACGTTTTAGATGTTACACGAATGAAAAGTAGGTCATACACCTACAAACAACATTCTAAACACCTCAAACCATTTAAAGGCCCCACTCCCTCCTCTCCTTTTTGACGGTTTTCACACACTGGCACAAAGTAGTTGCACTAATTCTGTTTATAAAGAAGGAACAGGGGAACAAAAACAAATGTCTGGCTACAGTGAGGCTGTGAGCCGGGGCCTCGGCAGCACTCGTGATAATTTCAGCTTTCTTTTGAGGGATTCCAATCCCAGCAAAGCTGCGGGCTCTTTATTTTCATGGCACCCGACAACAGGGTATTCACCTAGAATTGATAAATGAGGAAGATTAACAACGTGAGACGAGAAGAGGGAAGAATGGACTCTGTGGAACGGAGTGGGCTGCTGTTGTCAGCCTCCTGGTGGCGGAGGATCAGCGTCGCGCTGTGTGTTCCTCTTCCTGCTCGTTAACATGCACAACCTGCGAGGCGGGTCTCCAGAGGACGACCCCGCGCTAGCTTCTATCATTAATCAACTTCAAGCAAACACAGCGACCAGACACTGCCATACATGCTTTAAACTCCAGAATTAATGCATATTTTCAAGCAAGTGTCAATAAGGGAAGAAAAGCGCTGGCAGGAGAGGCGCGTGAGGAGCGGAGCCACGGCGCACTCTGCACAACACTGTGATAAGAAACAGAGCCCTTATGAGAATAATAACGCTGTCACTTGTAAACAAGGCAAAAACACGAAGAACCCCCACCTCCTTCCTCCTGCCTCCCTCCTCGCTTAAAGCCTGGGCAAAGGATGCACTAAAGAGATGGGATCTGCCAAATTTCTCATTACAGAAACAGAGCAGGGATAAAGCACACAGGGAAAGGAGGCCTGGCTGTGGCAGAGGAGGAGGAGGAGAAAAAATACATTATGAGCAGCTGCAGGGGACTTGTCGCTCTAACCTGCGGTGCCAGGCTGCTGTAGTGGAGGTGGAACAGTATCAGGATGAGGCACTGTGCTCATTTACTAGACCAACAAGGGCAAACTGGCACATTCTTCATCACCAAAGCCCACATTTGATTTATTCACACCGGGATGCCTCGTGTAATTTGCAAATGTTGTGATGGAGATTCTCGTATGCTAATGAGCTGACATATTGTGGCGTAAATTGTAAAAAAAAAAAACAGGGTTGGGTTGGGGGTGTAGGAAAAACTAAAGTCAGCCTTTCTATCATTTTCACATCAAAGTGCCTCCACAGGTTCTGTTGCCTCAGGTCAGACTCTGGCTGCAGGGCAGACATGAAATTGTTAATATTATGCTGTTGAACCGACTGCTGATTCCACACTTTGCTCATAATGAGCCTCCTCTGTAAACCTGACTCTCCATGACCGTTTCTCTCTCAGTGTTGTTTTCTTCCATGGAATCTGCTAAATGATAAAAAAAAATCAACATCATCAAAATAATTAATATCTATGTCACAGCTGTCAAAACCGTTAAAGAAGCCGGAGAGACGCGTGTTCAGACGTGTGAAGTTTTAAAAAATAATAACATCCGTCTAAGAATTTTTTTTCCTGCGACTCTGACTTGAAGATAAAACTGGGGGAAATTTAATGGGAGTTGACTCACAGTCAACGTCTTACACTATAGTCTGACTTAACACCCTGGTGAGTCACCTGAAACTTCTTCACTGACTTAACCACAGATGTAATTTAATTTTTTAAATTGACTCCAACTCCGACTTAGAACCTTGAGGACTAGACTTAGACACAGATTTTCTCCTGGAAAAAGACTTCCAACCTTGGTGACTCATTTTGGATTCACTTATTCAGTGACTTGGACTGAAGCTTGATCCCTTAGGGACTCCACCTCACTGACTCAGACCTGGAGTTGGTTCTTGAATTTTTCTGGTCAATCACTAGGGCTGAAATACTTCAAATAAATAAATAAAAACGAGCTCAAAGTATTTGATTTGGTAACTTGCCAACAGCTAACAACAAGAAAATTGTCTGATACATAAAATGAAACAAGCAGACTACAGTCCCACCTATCACATATTTGGTTGATTGATTTATCCCTGTTGGTTTCTTATATATTACATTGCTAGGACAACAGCAGGATTCATTCGAGTATTTACTGCAGTACCAGTTCTATGTTTTTAAACGTGTGAAGGCTGCAGGTATGTTTTGTTAATCAGAGAATGAAGTTCTCTTAAAAGCTAAAATAAAACACCGTTTGAACTCATTTTGTGCTCAAATAAGTTTATAGAGACAATTATGAGGAAAGTGCTGGTAAGCTTCATCAGCCTTGAGATAGCAGCAGAGGCAGGAGCAGGCTGCCTTTAGGCCAGCACACCCATCCTGTCTCTGCCTTTCCTGTTTCACAGCTATGCTCAGAGCTATGTTTTCAGTGATTAGGGATGGCACTTTCCTCCATTCGGCCAGGAACTCATTACTGCGCCTCCCTTTTTGTTTTGTTTTCAGGCAAATTTTCCCCCGAGCTCAGACGTTTTCAGGAGGCCATTCCTGAGTCTGCTGCACATCGGTGGTCTGCCCCCACATCTGGAAACGATGCGGCGCACGCTGTATTATTTTAGGCTTCAAACAACTTAGCTGACACTCCTATACAACAAGTGAGTGGGGAGCTGCGGTTAGCAGACCCAACCGCAACTTTCCTACACGAGAATCTTGAATGGCGTCCTCCAAACTAATTATCATTTTTGTCTTTCTTTTCTTTGTGCGACTCCGAGGTGTTTCTGTTGCACCGTGCCTGAGCCTAAAACCTCTGCACATTTTAGCATTTTATGAATATTTCAAAAAACTGGAATGTTGATTGTGTCCAGACGGAGAGAGAGAAAGAGAGAGCAGGACACATAAAAGCAGAGTTCATAAACTTGCTGTTATAATAACAGAAATGGCAGCCGGTCTTTTCAGCCTGGTGATGGAAGCTCATCACAAAAAGGTGGAGTTTCCTATTTTACAGAGAGGTCAGCCACAGCTTTTGGCAATGAATCCCTCTGCACACAAACACACGCACCCGCACACACACAAGTTTATTTATTGTCTTCTCTGGAATTGTTTTTGTTTTTATTTAACACCGTTTACTCAGCATTTCCCTCCCCTAAATTATGTAAATAAATGATGCACAAAGTCACAGAAAAACTCAAATACTGCTGTTCTTCACTTTTTTAACTAGGGTGACACACATTTATGTGACTGCTGCCAGCCTAGAATTTAACCTAGAATTAGCTCATGTTTAAATAGAAGAAAATATGCACAATTTAGCTAAAACTAAAAGCCTACAAGTACAAAAAAAGTATGTCCCAAAGCAGGTTATACATAGAAAAAAGTGGAAGTTTAGCCAATAAATTAGCCCAAGTTATTATTATCTAGCATAATAATAATAATAATAATAATAAACTGCCTCAAAACATATTCAATAAAAAGTGAATTAAACAAAAAAAGACTTTAAATGGTAACAGAACAGTTTAACAATAACAAAGCAAATAGTTAGCAAAATAGTTAAAGGGGTTTAGAAAAGCTAACCCATGAATCAACTGAAGAATAAACGTATGAAAACACTTTGGCCTGGGAATTATTTCAAAATATCTTTGAAATATACATCCTTAGGCCAGAGCTCTTAAAGTCTGTCCATTTGGCAAGACTTTTACACATCTGGTTTCAGGTGAAACGTTTCCTCTTCTCACACAGACACTGCTGCTGATAAAAAAGCACGTGTGCTACTCACATAGCTGGCAGCGGTGAGCGTCCTGGGCTGCTGTCACTGCCGTTGCTGTTGCCATGGTCCATCGCTCCATTCATCTCCTCACGGATGGCGTTGGCCAGTGAGTTGAGGGTAGGACTTCCAATGGAAGCAGTAGTGTATAGAGGTATGTTGTTTTCTGCCATTGAAGCCTGACACGCAGAAAAGCGAAGCAAATATTTGAAACGGAAGAAAGCTGTCAGCACGTTCTCATCTGCCTGTCACACTTTGACCGATTTGAAACTTGGGATTTTAAAGTTTATACTTCACATTGTAATTTCTTTTTTTTTTTTTTACCTGGAAGGCAGCAGAGAGGGACGAACCATAACCTAAGCTGGTCTGAATGTTTTTCACCAAGGCTGGACTTCTGGAAACAAAGAATTAGATTTAAACCACAGACTCGTGTCTCGTCATACACGCAATGTTTGATTTGACAAAAAGAAACTGATGTGTGAGCTTTAACTACATTAACAGCACAGAGTAATTCACATTTTATAATATTTTGCATTTTGTGGTTATAAAATTGTATGACAGTTTAACGGCTGTGAATCTTAACCCAAAAAGCACGATGGCAACTACACAGCACAGGCAGGGTTTGGAGAGGGAGTGGCATGCAGGGCAGGTGGAAGTGCTTACTGTACAAGCAGCTCGTCAAAGCTCTCGTCAGTGGCAAATTTCCGAGGGCGGCCTCGCTGTATGTGGCGGCCGTGCTTAAACTCCTCATCATCAACAGTCCAAAAGGACCCAAACTCATCCTCTACTCTGACAAAGCACTTATGCAGCGATAGGTTGGTGCGAATGGCACCCTGGGAAAGCAAAAGCAGCAGCAGCAGCAGAGGAGAAGGGGTCGGGGGAGGGCGGGATGCAGAAGTAGTGATGGACAGGAAAGACAGACGGACAGATGACACAGGAAGGAAGGGAGGGTGAGGATCAAAATGAAAACAAGCCATTGTGGGTTACGAGCCATCACCAAAAGACCTCTGAAAGCATGAAGGGAGGCAGCAGGCCAAAGCAAGCAGGGACTCTGGACATTATGGTACACAGACAATGAGATGAAGCAGTAGCAGCAGTAGTAGCAGCAGCAGCAGCAGCAGCAGCCTTTCCCGTCAATCACCCAGTCAGATATTTGCTCGTAGGGCTGTTGACCTACCCACTGATCTTCTGAGGCCGTCTCTTTTGGAACTCTATTTCGTCGACTGTCCACACAGCACCTTTAACGTTTTCTACTCGCACAAAACACTTGTGAAGACTAAGATTATGCCGGACTGCGTTCTTCAGTTTGCATAAAGACAAAAAGAGAAAAAACACAACACACATTGGCTTTCAGTGACACAAACAGGCCTGTGTAAAAGTAACACTCTGAAAGGTCGAAAGACGGCTGAATCACTCTGAACCTCTGTGTTTCAGAGACCAAAATGATCAGGAAGTTTCCCCGACTGCACTTCAAAAATATGTGTTTTAAACTAATAATGCCACTCTGAACTAAACCAGGTACAGATAAAAGGTAAAAATATATCATTTTTTGTTATAGAAACTGAAAAACCAAGGCAGAAATCTGTCAATAACTAAAACATACTAAATAAAAAAACAAAAGCTAGAACACAGCAAAACAAAATTTGTCCTGAAATTGAGTGAAAAAGTGATAGAAAAATATATAAAAATTAAAATCACTGCCCAAATAATGAGGTCGTTTTTTGATAGGAAACACATCAAGCATTTAGGAATAGCTTAAAAAGAACTAAAATATAATTAGCATTAAGCCCAGTGATAGCTAGGCGCTACAGAAGAAATCAGTTACAGTAAAGGTAGAAATGGTTCATTTCAAACTTGACATTTCATTTTCACTAGCTTTCTTTTCTCAGTTCCTGTTTTTATGTTTTTGTTCCAGTAATTGATTCAAATATCTTTTACCCACATTACGTTAGGTTTATGGGGTTTTTTCACTGTGAATGTGTGTGTGTGTGAGAGTGATTAGGTGAGAGAAAACAGACTGCTTTCTAGTGAAGTGAGTGTAAGAGAACAAGCCAAAAATGACTGGCAGACTCTGTTAAACTAATGCCACCCACCAGCAGAACAGCTCTACTTTTACAACACACTTTTGCTTTTGCTTTTCTTCTTTTCTCGCTCTCTTTTTTCCCCCCATTTTTACAAAAACAGAGTAATGCACACAGAATGTATGTAAAATAATCAAAAGGGGACAAACATTTACCTTCCATGTTGCTGCGTTGCGCCTAAAGTATGCAAACATTCTCGTGAACCAGTTGTAGATTTCATTTAGTGTTAGCTGCTTTTCGGGAGATTCGAGGATCGCCTGGAAAAAACAGGAACAATGTCAGGAACAATCACCTGAAATCAGTGACAAGTCAGTGGTTTAAAAGAAAAAACACCAATGCACTGAGATGGATTTCTCTCAGGGTTACTGAAGCCTGGCAAAAACCTGACTAGCTAGTTAGACACAGCTTTAAACTGAGAATTTAAGGGTTTAAAAAAAGCAGCAGAGGGCTCACCTGTCTGATGAGGGAGGCGTACGTAAACGGTGGTCGAACATCTGCATTCATGTAAAACTCTTTGTTCTGACTAAGATCTGTGCACAGGAAACAAAACACAAACGTCTGTCAACAGCTGCGTTCCATCAGCAGATACTAACAACACAGAATCACTTGATTACGAAAACATGGGGGAAGTTTTCGTACCAAACCTTGACACCAAATCCATTGCCAGTCAACATACAAATAGAATATTTCTCATACAGCCTCTGGATTCAACAGACTGACTGATTAATGACTAATGACTAGTTGGTCATTTTTAATTTTGCTGTTAGTTGAAGCTATAGTCTAAAAACATGACTTGTTTGATAATGAGCCGAACCATGAACGTCTTTGTCAGCTTGTCCTCTAAGTGTGATCAGAATTTAGGAGATTGACATCAACAACTCTGGCCTGCAAACCCCTCCCACCTGGTGACTAGATGTCAAGGCCTGATATCTGCAGTCATGTCCTAGAGTTGATTATTCTTTAGTATTTCTACCCGTACACGCTGTCGTACCTGGAGAAATGGGCATGTTGTACTTTTCTGAGTAGCGCCGTCGAATGGGCCCCACACTGTGCAGGCTGTTGGCTGTGATGACGGAGTGGGTCTGGGACATCGGTGTGAGTGGCGTCGTGGGCGTGGTCGGAGTCCGGGGCAGGCTCAGAGGAGGAGAGGCCTCGGGGGCCGACTTGGACAGCGTGACGTTGGACACCAGGTTGAGCTGAGAGCAGCACAGACAGGCAGAGCGAGACAGACAGTCGGGAGCTGTGTTAGTTTTTCTAATTACTCTCTCTGTCTCTACCACCTCATTGACTATGCATCTCTGCTGGCTAATTGAAGGCAGGACCTGAAATGATCCATGAATGTTTGCTCAGTGTTTGGAAAACAACACTGGAGTCCGACTCTTCTTCTCTCCCCTCCTCCATTCTTCACATTCTCCCCCTCCCTCTGCCCCCTGCTGCCTTCTTTCAATCCCCCTGCCTTTGTTAAATCTTTTGTCCTGTTTGGACAACAACCCCCCCCATCCGCCCACTGCGGGTCTGCGGCACGGTTAGCAACGAGGGCTGAGTGGTAACAGGAAGACGGGCGAGTAGAGCAGCACTGAAATATGACAGTGTGAGTCTCACCTAGCCTACAGCCGCCCTGCTAATAAGGGAGCCGGAGGAAGAAGAAGCCAATCTGGGCTAATTACAAGCTTAAATTTCATAATGAGTACTCTAATTAGGAGCTGTTTACGGAGGTGATCTGATGATTAACTACTGTATCTGATCGACCTCCGTCATCAGGGCCGTGACGGCTGCTTCAAAGACTGCTGCGTGGCATTCTTCAAGCACAGCCTCACGCACGGAACATGTGGCCTCGCCACTGAGGTCTGCATGTGTGTGGTTGGTGATGGGTGCGGTTAAAAGAAGAAGGCATCTAAGTAATAATAGCTAGAAGGTAAACTAATTATAACAAGTGCTCCGAAGGTATAGCAAGGCCTCCAGCAGCGTTGCGGGCTCTGAGCCAAGAGTTGAGCCTCTTCACTCAGGCAACAGTGAGGAGCTCCAGTGGAGGTGATCCCCTGGCTTCTACTAATAATTGTCAAGGAAAATTATACCATTTCCAACAAGTATTTATAAGGTCCTGATGACCTGGTGAGGGGTAGATAGATAGGTGAACCGTAAAATTGTTTTTTAAATGTTAAAAAATAGTTCCGGTGTCGCAGCAATCAATGTGGACGCTGCGTTCAGGGGCTGCGTTCTTGGCCGACACCAAACATGAGTAAGAACTGTTTTTAATCATCAATTCTGTTCATGTTTAATCAGTTTTCTGACTTTTATTTTCATGTGTGTATTCTAACTCGGAGGATGCACACGTCATACTTGTGTGTGTTTATATTCTGGAGACTAAACTTTAGCTTTCTGTGGCAGAGTCCGCTCATATTATTTGAACTATTGCTGTGATGCACAAATTCAGACTGCATTCTCAGCAACAGAGGTCAAACGTGTGGTATTGTAAAACCACTGAAAAAATAAATCATAATAAATAATGTTTGCACGTTGTTTTTATGACACGTCGCCATCAACAGAGATGGCGCCGTGGTGTTGACTTCTCCTCCTGTGGATTAGCAGGCTTTGTTTCATCTTTCATCCATATTCCCTGGCCATAAACACAGAGAGGCTTCAACAATAGGCCAGACAGGCTGGTAATAGCCTTGCCTTTGTCTGGCTCACCATTTGGGCTCACTCCAGTGCCTAGACAAAATGAGACTTCAGACTGAAATTAATTAAATGGTAATTGGTGATCTAATTATACTGGCTTTGACTCGGCGAGCTGCTAAAGAAAATAAACAAAAAGTCCCTCCTTAATTATGTATGGCGTAAAAGGTCAGATTTCTGACAAGAATGCTTAGTGACACCGAGCACACACATCTACACACATGCACATGGAGACAACACAAACACACACACACACAGCGACAGGCAGCCCCGGCTAATGTGGAGCTTTTTGTTTTGATCTCCCACCGCCGCCGTCGTCCCGCACCTCTGAGGAACAGAATGAATCCTGTTCATTTGACACGGGGCGAGCTCTGTATCCACTTTGTTTGTCTTTAATTATAACTAAATGTAAACCAGCAAATTTTGTTTGAGCTACTTCCCTTTGACAGCTGGCTACTTATATATCCCTTTATTATCATACAGAAGCGGCAGAAAAGCACAACCAGCAATTAGAGGGGGAGCACGGCCGCGTCCTCGGAGCGGCTCTTTCTACTGTCAGCTCCACTATGAGAGGATTCTTTATTCAGTATCCACTCAGGGGAAGTTGGTTTGCTTTACTTCTGAGGGCGACGTGTTTTCTAAAAGCCTCAATCTGTCGGTTTGACCTGTGGGTCATACAGTTAACCAAAAAATTAATATAAAAAAAACTTTCAACTAGTTCACAAATTAATGCTTGACTGAAATTGTTTTCCATTGTTTATAACATTATTTAAAATAAACTGTATTTACTTACAAATATAAATTCATTTTACTGATAAGGTATGTTATCATAATCAGAAATATTGTTAATGCTCCTCTCCATGATGTCCATTATAGATAAATGACAGAACTGGACTGCAGGCTGGCCAGTCAACTGTATGATTGACTTACATTGTACACAGTTCAGTGGCCCTTTGTTGAAACAAAAAGCTAAATTGGTGATAAATTACTGACTACTGTCCCCGGGGAACAGACAGTGTCTTTCAGTGAAAATGTTAAATTATCCCAGACTTATTTCTAAACGCCTACAAATCAAATCACAAATATGGATTTTTAGTGTTGATTTCAGGGAGAGCACTTGTTTTAGGGGGAAATTCTGATTGAGTTTCGCAGCAGCTCCCACCAGGCGAAGGCAGGGCTGGAGGACGGGGGTCTATTTATTTACATAAAACTTCCAGTTTGCCCCCTCGGGTGTGCTAATACTGAGGCTCTGACACAGTCGTTCTCACAGGTCCCGGGGAGAGAGACGAAGAAACACGGAGCTCAAGATGCTATCTGCCTCCCCGAACACTTTTCATATACAAATGTCGCCGTGTCAAAGCCCTCGTTTCTCGCTCTAATCTACACAATCAGAGTGTGTGTGACACAGACGCGGCGTTAACCGACAGCCTATTGTCGTTCCAACATCTCCAGGCGCTTTATGTTGACTGACTGCTACACACGCAGCCTCTGCACATCAATGGCCTCCTCTCTCACTGTAAATAAATGATCCAAGCTGCACACAGGACCCAGGGAAGAGGCCGGCTGCACCAGGGCTGCGCTGCACGTCTGTGTGGGTGTGCGTGATTTCACATTCATACCCTGCAGTGAAATGATCTTTACACATTTGGCTGTTTGAATGAACTGTCATACACTCTGAAATATGGCGCTGAGGCCCCATCTTAAACATGACAAAATAGCACAGACACTTAAATGCCATATGTTAAGCCCTTAGCCCATACAGGAAAAGAATGTGGCAGCAGGCTTTACGGCATGGCATATATTAAGAGTGATAAGCAGGCTGGAATGTGCCGCACAGACAGTAAATTGATTTTCTGTTACATTTATTAAAGATTTCACTTTTGTCTTTCTGAGATGTTTGTGAAAAATTCCTAAAATGCTAATCCTTTTTCCTCATGTCATGAATTATCGTTTATTTTTCTTTTACAACATCTAAAAAAATTAACTCAACCATACTCTTGTATTATTGCTCTCAACATTAGTTTTTTTATCTGACTGTACAAGCTCCTTGATTGAGATGGATGACAGAAATGTATAAATTAAATTTTTAAAAAGCCCTCTGGGCATAATCCAAGTTAGCAGATGCTGCTACCCCGACAGTGCAATCTATTAAAAAGTACTTCACGTTATTTTTTTCATATAAATGACTACCTCTTGCACGTTTCATAGCTTCCCTCTAGCTGTACTGTCAACAGTAAACAGCTAAAACATAACCACCTTAGCCAAAAGGAGACTCAATGTTAACAAAGAAGCAAAAATTGGCAAATATTAGAGTGGAAATGACAACAGGAATCAAGAATAGATATTAAAAAAAATAGCTAAATGGTATTTAGGGAATAGTAAGAAAAATTATTAAAGGGCTGTTTATTTCACTCGCATCAAAACTGAATAAAATGATGTTTGTTATTTTCTGGTTTGCCTGTTCTCTGCTGGACAGCGTCACCAGTCGACTGACGTTGATGTTTGTGGCTGCGACAGAGTGTGTGCACCCAGTTCATCACAGACACCAAATTGAATCTGGGATGTCAGCAGATGTGCTCCAAACAATATTTACTGCCTCCCTCCAGAGAACAGCTGTTTTTATTTAGCAGATAAATAAGAAGATGGAGGAATGGGTTAATGAATACACGTGTGCCAATTAAGACAAACAAAGGAGGGAGGGAGCAGAGGAGGGGGAGGGACGAGTGACGGGGTCGGCTGCTCACCGGCTGTGGCGTGGCTTTGGGCTCTGTGGACTTGACGTGAAGGTGTGTCATCATGGCTTGCAGACGTTCTTTGTCTTTTGCTAGCTGTAATTGGGAGACAACGACAAACGATAGGATTTGAATACAATTTGAACTGTGTAACAAATAAGATCTTTTTCCTGGATCTTGTCTTCATTATCATTTTGACTAAAGAGTTTTGGAGTCAAGGAATGAACTTGACAACAAAGCACAATTGTACAAATAGAATAAGCAAATGCAGGTAACATACAGTATATCACTAACTGTTGCTACAAAGAGCTAATGAGCTTCAAATAATTGATAGAAATTTGACAATCAATTTGAAAAAATATGAAAAAAAACTAGAAGTAACAAATATAAAATGTCCAAACAACTACAATGAAAACAGAGTAGGCTTGGAAAAAAATATATAAAAATAAGCAAAATTCCACCAAAAAATGCTGAATATAAAAATGCAGTACATAAGTAGTTTAATAAAACTGTACTTAAATGATTTAAATTATGCTCTAAAAAAAGTTATATATTTAAAAAAATAAAAGAGGCAAAAGAAAACAGCTAAGAAATGTCCAACACATAAATAGGTAAAACAGGGGATTAAGTTCAAATCACACACTTGAGTTTTAAGTAAAAAATACTCGTCCAGTGCTGTACTTGAGTAGTTGACTGGTCAACGATTAATTGCTAATTATTTCAGCCTTCTTTGCGAGTGGTCGGTTTTCTTCAGCGTCACATGACTGATTCAGTATGAAGCCTCCTCAACCACCCTTGAAACATCTGCAGCCATTAATGAATGGAAATACAGTTTAATGGAAGGGTGGGTTTTAGTTTTTCACCGTAAATACTAATAAATAAGTGCAGCGTTACATTAGCATCAGCCTTGCTCACTTTTTAATCCCTCGCCAACACACACACACACACACATATGACGCAGTGGCCATTATAAAGCCTCACTAATGGAACGACAGTGAACCCCTCTCCATAAGTGCATTCTTAATGCACATGTGCATATTTTTCTTTGCTCACAGAAAAAAAGGCCATTCAAGAGCGATCATGAGGGACAAAGTAATAAAACTACTGATTACTGCATCAACAGTTTTGTGTAGTGGGGCTACAATAACCTTTCTGTTCCTTTAACTCGCTCTGCCGAGTCATTTAACTGAGTGTTTTATTGTTGGTGCCAAATACTTAAAAGTCATAAATAACTTTAAAACCCAGTAAAATTCAAAATGTAATTATCTTCTCTACTTAGCCCTCGGGCACTTCATATATCTTCTGCTGGCTGCATGCATAACACATTTTTAATGACTGGTTACTTGCAAATGTACAAAATTATTTCCCCCCCGCCTCCCTCCACCTCCTTCCCCTCCATGGGTCACCCGCTAGCTGATAATCAGGAAGGGGTGAGGACATGAGGTTGGCTGACGGCAGATATGCTGAAAGTGTCAGCCTCAAGTCGGCACATGAAGATTTGGGTCAACACACGGAGACAGTACCTGCAGTTCCAGCTGTTGGACAACCTGCATCTGCACCCGACACTGGGCCGTGCTCCTGTCGTCCAGGGCGTGCTCATTGTTCAGATGTCTGAAAGAAAAAAAATGGACCAGAGGTTTATTTTATTCTTAAATCCGTTGACAGCACAATTATACCTTACTGTACCTATAAAAGACACAAACATTTAAATTAATAACCACCAAGTACATTGAGCGAAATAATAAAAAAAGATGTTCATAAAACAGAAGAAAAAAAATCTCTAACAGTCAAGAAAATTCTACCTAAGAGCCACCTACAGGTCAAACTGAAGTAAAACCTGGGTCAGGTGAGACGAAACGAGTTGTCAATGTCAGAGCAGGACAACAAGAGCGTAAAGTCTACCAAAGAACACGAATATTCGACTTCTCCTTTGTAGAACTACTACATTTGACACCTTTTCATTTATTTTCATCTGTGTTTTTAGCAGCCATATAATCTTCCTAACTCTGGCTCGTATAGTCAGAGATACAGTAAACAGAGGATTTGTTTTCCTAAATAATCCTGAGGCGTTGACTTTTGAAGACACAGTTTTGTACCTGTGTAAAGTGTGGGAACATTGAGGTAAATATCAAGTGGAGTTTTGACATAAAATAAACAGCCTGTGGCAAATAGGACACAACACGCGACGTTTGTAGACACAAAACACACAGCGCTTTTACTGGATGACAATATGTTTCACAACATTCATGTTTGCTTCAACTCCTCCACTTAAATTATGCTCAACTTTTTATCTCGACCTCCCAACTGATTTTTTTTTTCCCTTCTTGATTTTATGGAAAAATTAAGACCAAACACAGAGGACAACAGGGCAAGGAAATTGGATCTGTCACAGATGTGAATTATGGATATAATTACGCCTGATTATTTTATAGGAGAATGATGTTCTCTTTTTTTTCCACTCATAGCTAATCTAAATAAGTAAGTCGCTGCGCAGCACACAGGTTCTTTTTTTTCCTCCTCCTGTAATTTATATAAAATGGTACAGATAAGGTTCATAAGTAAAGGAAATATGATTGGAGGAATGTTATCAGTCGGCGCATGAATTACTGTTTGAAAATGCTTATGCAGGGGCATTTCATTAATCATTTAATCATAATCCAAGTAGGATGTTTGAACTGATTTCACAAATACCCTTTCATTTCACTACTTCATTATGCTCTCTAATGGATCCAATATATTATATATATCATAAATTATATCACATCGTGGGTGACCATGTAGGTCACTGTCACCCAGGCTGGCGCCGGCAGATGGGGGAGAGGTGTACAGCGCGTCTGCCTTTTTAAATGCACTTTTTCTGTCATTTACTGCAAATCAAAACGGCCAGAGTCGGTGAGTACGCGGCGGGAGCAGCGCTGCTGTTGTGATAGACCAATAAATTTTGACGCCGGTGCATTTATGTACAGACAACACATTTGTGTCACACGTCACCTCGGAAAACAGACACGTTTGACAGTAGGAGGAGAATTGATGGAGCTCTACTTAAAATGTGCATGTTTCTTCTCGGCTGCCGCGTTTTTCAACCTTGAGGTGAATGATTGAAATTCTTTTCCCCCATTAGGTCTTTTTTTTTGTGCCTCCATAAGACATTTTTCAAAACCACTGAAGTAGACTTCTACCATTTTCACATGGATTGGACTTATTGCTTATAATTAAATGTGAAAAAAAAAGCCTTACGACAGTTTACCACACTTAAACTTAAAATCTGCCACAAAAAAGCTAATGCTAGCTAATGAAAATTAATAAATTAGCTCATATAAAAATGTATAGTACCAGGGTAATAACAAAATAGTCCCATGTAACAATAGTTTAAGAACCTTAAAGTAGGCCAAAAAGATGTTTTTCCCAAAAAAAATTCACATTCACACAAAAATTAAATCACTGATACGTACACGAAACAATTAAAAATGGCTAAAAGATATTGGACATGACCCTCCTGCAAATGAACTGAAAACAGCTTTAGCTGAGTAAATTCATCAATGTTAGCCAAGGTTAAAATGGTGAAAAAATATCTGTCATAACAAGGAGTTTGAAAATGTTAAATGAAAGAAATAACTAGATTTGAAGAAATAATACATTGTTGTCCATTTATAATTAGAGAAAGAAGAAGAAAAATGGGTCAAATAATTCCCAAAATGGACAAAAGGATTGAATTTAAATAGTAATAGTCAAACATCTTCAGCTGGACCAAAACCAGCTAATATTAGCAAACAAAAAAGCAGAATAGTTATAGTAGTTATATGGTAAAATAATTAAAATGTCCTAGGCACACCATGGTAAAAGCTCAAAGCTAGCACATGAGTCTTTACAGAGTTTAAGGTAAAATGTACCTAAAATGAAGCAGAAGAAAATCTCAATTTTAGCTTCGATATTTTTTACAAATCCAAGATTGACTTAACATGTAAATGTTTCTTTACCTCTGAGGTCTTTCCTCCTTGAGGTGAATGGTCTTTTGAGTCTCCCTAACACCCTCTTTCAAAACGGCCGTGATCCACACTTACAGCTTTGGTGTTAATTATTATAAATAAATGAATTCAAAAGGCGAGAGAGTGAAAGCAAATGCACTCAATTCTCCGACTTCTGTTTGACTTGGCCCAAATAAATGCCTATTTAATTAAAATGAAAAACGTAAACATCTGAGGACGTCTTACGATACTTCCCAGAAAATATAATACATAAAGATGTTTTGCCTTCAATGTAACAGGCACAGAGTGAATTTTCAATGAAGGCAGGTCTACGTGAGCCGCTTTGGAATTTCTCTCTTCATAGGAGACACGTGCCCCGCTTCTTTTCATCCTTTGTTACATTCCACTTTATTTCTTCTAATGACATGGAGAGTCACAGTGCATAATTAATAGGAAATGAAATATTCAAATGGCCCTAATGCAGCCTTGAGAGGAGTGTCTGGACACGGGAGCAGCGGCTACGAGGAGGGGGAGCTGACACCGAGCGAGGCGATGAACGCTGGCATGTGTCACTTTCTGGACTTCAAATAAAGCTGCTTTTAAAAGCTCTCTGGCAGAGTGACGTCCCTAATGTAAATTGCCACAATAAAACAAGTTAAAAAGACATTCTTGTAAAGGTCTGCCTTTTACATATCAGTTAGCTGGCCTACTGTCCTCTCCTCTGCTTCACCGTATTCAATTATACAGACTGGTCCAGAGGTAAAGCTGTCTCTGAGGAAGCTTTATCTGCTGTGCTCTTGAGGGGAATTTAATTTGGGCATTATGCATGTATGCGTGTGTGTGTGTGTGTTACAGCTGTTACATGTTTTAAAAACGCAACAATAAAAACTGTGAATTTACCTTAATGTTTATTAGATAAACAGGTTGTTACAGGGTGTTTATTAGTTATTTTTGTTATTTGTAAATAAATATGAATTAATTAATTTTTTTTCCAATAAAATAAATGCAGGTTAACAGCTAAAAGGTCTGTGTGTTTGAGAAGCATCACCAACAATGATGGGTAGAATCTCAACAACTTAAAAAAACATCACCAGGAGATTGTCTATAGAAATGTAATGTTTTTCAGGACAAGATGGCAACGACTTCATGCCTGTCTGCAACTACAGTTATTAAAGTTGCAAAATCACTATAGATTTCATGTGTGTGTATAAGGGCCAGAGGTGAAAAGAGTTGCTGTTTTTGCATAACCTTAAAGACATTAAACATAATTGCGTTAGAAATGACAGCCTGAGATGGATGGACTAAGGAGAACAACTTATATAAAATGTATATGAAATTATACCAAGATGGAATTTTGGTAATCCTGTCATTAATGTAAGGAGAGGAACCCAACATCTGTGATGGTGGGTGGGTGGGGGAGGGGCTGAACCAGTAGCTTTGCATAAACGTCAACACGTCTCTGATGAGGACGCTTGTAAAAAGAATGTAGAGAGACATATGCTCCATCTAAACAACATTGTTTTCCTCTTGTCAATGCATTTTTCTGCGGGGCAATGTCAGCCCTTCTACTGTTTCAATTAAATTAGCACAGCTTCATAGACGGAGTGCACAGACTGACCGGCCTGCAGTCCACCTCTGTGTCCTGTGGGAATAGTCCTTCGCATCATTGAATGATGTAAACAAATAGTGAGTTTGTCATATTTTTTATGACTAACAGGTAGTCACTGGTTCATGGGTCTATTTTCACTGCAAATCTTCATGCAAATGATCACATTTAATCTGTGTTAAAATATTGTTTTTTGTTTTTGTTTCATCTTAAATTGATGATTGCAAACTTTCAAAATACATGTTTATGACTGGTATTATTTTTTGTCTAAATTTCCCATGCATCTGAAGTGTTTACTTTACATTACAATCATTGGTCCAACTGTTGTGTTTTTTTTCTACACGTACTGTTTGTGCACAACACCAGCTTCACCATGGTGTGAAGGTGTGAAAGATAGTTGTTTAGTTAGCACTAGGGGGCACTGCAGGGTTTCACTGGCTCTGACCTTTGCCTGGAGAAGCTTCTTGACCAGGCTACACTGAAACCCCCAGGCTCTGCTGTGATCCTGACCACGCCCTACTGCATGTCGAGACCCCCCCCCCCCAAAAAAAAAAAAACAGTGTTCTGGAGCTTCACATTTAACAAGATAGTGCGTGCAGGTATGTAATGTTTTCTCTAAGAGATAAAATAAATATTCACAGTTTAAAACAACATTTCAGGCCCACGTTAGCTGTTAGCGTTGGCATGTGTAGCTGAAATCTGGTTGACGTTAGCGTCCTCCTCACCTTACTTTCT